TTTTATTAGTAGCATAGGCTAATTTTTTATCAAAATCATATTGTACTACAAAGATCATATGAAAAATGATCTACGTATCCTCTACCCTTAAGTAGTAAAAGAGTTATGTAAAACATAGTGCTATAAACTGTATATAATTAGAGCGTATTCGCTCATAATAAAGGATAACTCTTCGTAGTTTTGCAAGTTATTTATTAAATAATTGATAATTCCCAATACATAATCCCAGAATACATAATATTTTCGCTAAACTAACCTCCCTATAACCCCGCTTATGTTAAAATGACATACAGTACGTCTACTGTTGTCTTGCCCACGTGATACCTACCCTGTAAATTGTACGGTTAATCTTGACGTACTAACAGCTAAGATTAACCGTGGTCTTTCTGTCCAACTAACCCGACGTATTGTGGTTGGTTGTGGTTATATAATCTGGTTCCAGTTACCCGACGAACTGAGGTAACTGTGGTTTAGAATATTGGAATACCCGACGTACTGTGGTGTTCGTTCTTTAAAGTTAAAACCCCCAAGTTTGGTCCGCCTAATTAAAAGAGAAGATTAACATTACCGATAAAGACTCAACTACTAAGAAATTAAAGATAATCACTTACCTACGAGCCCAAACCCACCGACCAAATCTAAACGCCCTCTTTTGATAAGCCATTCGTAGGTTACGCAAGGATTTTTATAGTCAAGCGACTGACTCGCCGTATAAACCGATCGTTTCACTATTCACTTTATAAAAAAGATAATTCACATGGTATAACAATATGACAATAATTGGGTAAATTAGCTGCTTATTGTGCAATCATCTCCCTATTAAAGTTACATCAATTGGTCGATTTATGGGAAATTAATCTATTACTAGATATGTATGGTGATTATCTCGTGAGGCGAAGTTGCATACATATTCGCATATTCGAAAAATCTCCAAGAATTTATTTTCAACAATTTAACGTTAATCACGTGTCAAATAGGGCATTTAGCACGAAGAAAGAAGCAACAATAAATTTAATAAATAAACAAAATAATAAATAATGCAATTGATATATAATTTATATATAAAATAATAAATAATGCGATTGATATATAATTTAAATATAAATATTATTTTTTTATAACTGAGAATATTTCACAATCCGTCCATCGAAATCTGCCTTCAGTCTCCATAATACTAGATTCGTAAGTAACTTTACGTGCCTCACCACTTTGATCACTGTTCATGTGGACCCACAAATCCGGTCCTTTTCCAAAGCGTGGCCCATGCCATGCTAAATCATCGACGTCTTTATCAATTGCAGCAGAAGATGTCACTCGTGCTATTTTAGCGCCATCGGGCGATCTTCCGTCTCCTAGGGTGAATACAAAACAATCGCTTGTTCCTTGCCCAGGTCCAAGTTTTTCCGTCTTCCAACCGATAGAATTGTATCCTCCAATCAATTTACCTGATTCTTGAACCTTTAAAACAAGTATTACGGGCCCTTTATCAGCGCACTTCTGTTTTAATGCATTTATAGAATAACCATCACGACTTGCTCTGAAAAGAAGCGAAAAGTTACAATGTACACCTTGCTTGATAACCGATTCGTTGTCGATCCATCGTGCAATTAAAGCAGTATGTTGAGGTCCAATTATTACAGAATCAATCTGAATAGGGGCAACTCTTGGTGGAAGTACGGTAGTCGATTTTGGCGTGTCATTAGCAAGATAATAATGTAAGAGATCTTCTTGTAGGTTTTTGGGTAAAAGTCGCTTATACGGTCGTACTTTATGACAATAGTCGACAGGTGTCATTTGGAAAAGCCTTATAAGTGGAATTAATTGACTAATCGTCTTTTGCAATGCAGAGAAATCTTCTTTACGCCAACTCGAGACATCGGAAGCTGTTCTGTTTGTAGTGTTCGCAATACCCCATTCAATAACTTTATCCCAAATCTGAGCTTCGTTTAATCCAAGATCGTCACGTTGTAATACAGAAACTAGAACGTCTTCATGAATAGTTGTAAAATCTTTTGCTTCAAATAATGATCGTGCATCTTCTACAATTAACCGATTACAAAAATTATAGAGTTCTTGATATGTTTTGTGCTTTAATGATAAATGTAAAATTTTGACAAGATTTTGTCGTATCCATTCAGACTTATTTAAAATGAGATGATCCTGTATGTGACTAAGACAATATGAAGAGTAAGCAAAATAATGTAAGATATTGTCTCTATTAATGTTCAACATTAATAAAGTATTTTATATACCTAAGCAATTCATTGAGACAAAATTGATCCGCTGCTGCCAACAGTTCGAAAATATCAGTATCATCATCTAAAGTCGTTGTTCCGCTGTATATGTACCTGTTAAGTAATGATTTTGCAAAGTTAGAGGGAAAAAAAAAACGAAATATACGATTTCATCAAAATTTACTTTATTATTGCACTGAAAACTGTCGATGATACACCAAGTTGTTTGAAAACAATATATCCATTTTCTCGTCTTGCCCAATCACTAGATAAGGCAGTGTGAAAATACGGAGAACGAGCACGAAGAACAACTGAATGCGCTTGAAATTTTTTTACATTTGGTCCATCACCTATTTCAATTATAACGTTGTAATCGTCAGAATTGTCAAGTATACGTCCAAAGTCTTGCGAAAGACCCGAGAAAAGTTCAGAAATCATTTTAAAAAAAAGCGATATAGAAATAAAATTGATCGGAATTAAGAATGCAAAAATTCACTCTTAAGGTTTTAAAGAGTGGTTTTCTAGCCAGATTTAGTTCTCACCTATCGAATTCGGATAGTGTGGTACGCGTGATGATAATATATATTTATATTACATAACGATAATACCATGAAATTTTTTGCAAATATATCCTCTATTAGTAACGATCTAGAGACAGCCGATACATTATTTGTATAAGTCATAGAAAATCTTGTGCCAATTTTTTTTTTTTTTTTTTTACATTGTGCGACTCAGAAAGGAACAAGTAGTAACAAGTAGTGCAAAGCAATGCAATGTATAATTCACTTCAATTTTTCACAAGGTGCCTGTATTTCATTGTTTAATTCTGCTTGGCTGTAACCAAGTTCGAGCTAGTCAATACTTGATAAGGCAGGTGGTGAACTATGAGTTTTGAAATGGCAGTTGACTCTTAATCAAAACAAGATGGTCTCAAACCAAAATCAAAAGGCTACAATATAAAAGGTTATTAATACTAATATTATGTTTGAAAGAGCTAGTACAATTATGTATAATTTAACCAATAGTAACTTAAATGTGTATAATATATCAATATGTGTGCAGCCACAAGAAACTTTACGTATAACTTACTGGGTTGAATGCTCGGGAAATTTTGATTCGGATTTTAAATAACGTGATATTAAGCCAAAACATTAGCACAGGAAGCAATTGCAGAATTCAAAAAAAATAAAAATAAAAATAACCAAAAAATTACACTACTTCTATATTCAAATACAACTAGTAAGTGTATTATATATTCAACTATTGTGGTGTATGCCCATTTATAATCTTAAAATTTTTTAAAAATTTAAAAGGATATATTAAAAAATTGAGGATCTAAAATTATTTTATGATTCCCGAAAGTTATTTATTTCCCCGCCAAATCATTTCCCAACACCATATTACCTACATGTTATGCCACCTAAAACACATTTTTATACTGTACAACTTATCTCCGATATTACATATCAATATTTTCACAACTCTTTTCTAGACAAGGCATATTTCTGACAGAACAATTCCCCAACTCGAATTTTGCCACAATCATTTCCCCGATAATGGAGATGTCTCCCATTAAAAGGGCCATTTTTATACATGTAAACAATTTCGAGTAAATCGGATTTAAAAATTAGGAATACATATAGTCAGTGTTGTACATTTTGGCATGTTCAAAGCTTTTTTGGACATGTCCAACGTCCAAATGTCCAAGTGTCCAAAGTGTCCAAGCTGTCCACAGCCTTAAATACTTTAGTGATAGAAATAAAAAATTATATGATTATGTTCTTTATTTAATTCTAAACATTTTTGCTTAAAAGATTTAAATATGTTATCATAATAAATTTTTGAGTAAATTCACTTTATTTTTTTGTCCAAAATGTTCAAAATCTTGTCCACGTACAGTACATCACTGCATATAGTGTTCTCGATCTAAAATTTTATCATTGGATACGTGTCTATTACAGTATTAAAAAATCAAATAAAAAAAAATTTTAAAAATGTAAAAATGGGCCCTTTTAATAGGAGACACTCCACATATCGGGCTAACCAGTGTTTGAAATTGGGTTGCGGAGTTTGCGCGCCGCAACAATTTTTAAATTTCCACAACTAAAACCTGAAATTTGTATGCAGTTTCCGCATATGTATCGGTATAAATTTTATATCTAAAATTCATACGTCACATGTTTTAAAACAGCGAAAAATTTTGGATATATAATAGCTTATAACTTATATCGCAACCAAAAAATTTCGATATTCCGCAACAAAATTTAAAATTGAATTTCAGACACTGAGGCCAGTCCAATAATAATTGTAGGAGAAATGTAATTCCGCCAAATTTCTTGTTAGAAATTTGTCTTGTCAGGGTTGTCGAAAACGTAATGTCGCATATATGTTTTGTCGAGAAAATGTGCTGTAGATGTGCGAAAAATCAAATACCGCGTTGTAAAAAAAAAAAACTTCTATATTTAGATGCTATTTTAGCGACACTCATATTTGACTTTAACGTTGAAATATTTTCTCAATATCATTAACCTCTGTATTGTTTAAATAAATCCAAAAAAAAACAAGTGGGCTTTTTGTTTATTAAACATACTTTACACGTGTGAAGCACATGCAGTATGCTTGGTATATTAAAAAAATTTATTCACTAAGCGCATCTTCTCGGAACTATAGTAAGCATGCATTCAGAGAGGATGTGCAATTATAGAGGCAAAGTAGAGGATCAGACTATTGAATATAATGTTCTTTTATGGAGGGTTGACTGAATTATTTCCTACTGTATATATATTTCGTGAAAACATGCATGATTTAATAATTTAAAAAGTTGTATAAGCTATCGTTTATGAAATTAGGATTACAATAGTAAATAAAAAATAATTATAATATTGTACATAAATTAAAGGGTTCCTTTTATCCAACGAGTAAACATAATGAGTGAATTTTGTGGTTGATAAAATGGTACTTCATGACCAGCTTGATGGATTTTTACATAAGTTAAACAATTTGAAGATTTAATTTGACCAGCCGTTCCATTATTGGCTATAAAATCTCGGAATGGCGCAGAATTGAAATTTTTTTGATTGTTCCATTTGATGGAATTAGATACATTCAGTCCACCAATCCTGGTTTAGAAGGAAATATTAGGGTATAATAATTTGAAGATAAATCGAAAATGACATTTATAATATTAATTCTTACCAATCACAATCAGCATCAGCATCACCATGATACAACAAAGTACGAATACCTTTACCAACGATTTCACTAAGTTCAGGAAGATATGTTCTTGGACTATTAATTTTAAAATTTAAAAAATGGTCAATAATCACTAATAACCAAGTAACCGAAAATATATAAAAATACTTGCAAATCTGAAGTATTCGTAAAAGCTAAATAGGCGTCGTTGGAGCATTCGACATATTGCGTTTTAGCACCAATTGCTTTCAAAACCTCAGGTTTGGACAAATAATTGAGATAATCTTCTGATGGCCCACTACCGATTTCAGCTCTAATATCATCCATACTACAATTTAAATTTTCGGCGAACGGAAGGTAATAATTATCGAAACAATAGTTGTCAGCATTTGAGCAGTCTTCAATAGTACCAGTGCTGTAACATGTTTCGACTTTTAGAATCGAGTTGTAGAAAAATTAATTGAAATCGTATAATTTGAATTTCTGAAAACTTAAATGAAAAAATTTACATACGTAGATTTTTGCATGTCGGATAAGCCTCTTTCATAGTTGCAAGCACATCGGAATTAAGTATTGGACCATCTATACATGTAATATAGGATAGAATTTATTTAGGAGAGAATCTTGATATCATAAATTATAACATATACTTACAAGAATTGTTTACAGCATATACCATCATTGAAGCACTTTA